CTCTCATGGTTTGCCTCTCTCCCTTTCCCCCACCATTTCCCCCCTTCTTCTCCCCCTTGTTCCTCCATCAAGTTCCTCCTAATCCTCCTATACGTGCAAACATAAAATATTTTTTATTTATTTCTAGGAGAGAGAGTGAAGTCAGACTCTTAATGGACTGAGCCACCCAGGCGACCCAGTGTTGCTCACTCTTTCAGTGATTGAGTTATGGCTTGAAATCCATCATCTCTAACATGGCTTACAGTCTCTAAATAGAGGCTGTTTTTTAAATGTTTTATTTATTTTATTTATTTTTGAGAGAGAGAGAGAGAGAGAGAGAGAATCCGAAGCAGGCTCCAGGCTCTAAAAAAGCTGTCAGCACAGAGCCTAAAAAAGGACTCGAACCCATGAACCATGAGATCATGACCTGAGCTGAAGTCAGACGTTTAACTGACTGAGCTACTCAGGCACCCCAACATTAAAAAATTTTTTAAATAAAAATAAAAAATAAATAGAGTCAGTCCTAGGAGTACAGCTGCGAACTTAAGATGGAAACTGAGGCTGAACTAAATAGATACATGGAGGAGGGCACTTGTGGGGATGAGCACTGGGTGTTATATGGAAACCAACTTGACAATAAACTATTTGTAAAAAAAAAAAATAGATACAAAGACTTTGTAAGAAACCAGAGACAAATTTAATGAGGAGGGGATTGTATGGTACGTTAGTGTGTGGTGTCCAAGGAAGACACTCCAGATTGAGGGGCACATTCCCTTAAAGCAACCACACAACACCTCTAATTAGCTGTACAAAACTTGCCATTTACTTAATTTTTTTTTGCACCTCAGTTTCTTATCTACAAACTGGTGGAGTAAATGCAAGAAGGAAATGGGGAGGAAGCCCATGAGGAAGATGCAGCTAGGCCCATTCTCTAAAGTCCAGACACCACCCCAGTTAGGGCTGTGCCAAGGAGATATTAGCCTGACCCTCGCTGGTGCCAGGAGGTTGACTTAAATCCCAGGGAGTTCCCATCAACTTCTAAAGTAATTTCAAAGGAACACATTATCAGGCAACCAGCCTCTTAAATAGAATCTCAAAATCTCTGAAGCAAGAGGCAGTAGAACTTTTTCACAATTCCAAGAGAACTACTTCTCTAACCTGTGGTAACTTTGTCCCCAAAAGATGACCAGCTCTTTCCTGACGCAGAGACCCATTCACTGGAAACCTTGCCCTCATGCTACGGACAGTCTTTTGGGTGACATTGATGAGTAAATTAAGATGTGTTATGGGAGAGAGGTGAGACAAGATGCCCTCTTCGGCTAGAAGCATCTTTGTTACCTACAGATGAGCCTGCCTCATTGTCTCCTGTGAGCTAGCAGCCACTGCCTCCCTCCCCCATGCTTTGGTATCTAAATGTTCCACAGGCCAAGAATGACTTAACAATGAAAAACCCATAGCATATAGCCAGGTTTCTCACATTCATAGGCAGTGTCTGCTCTCCAGAAATGTGGTCAGTGTAAACACTCTGGTAGGTGACCCTTAGACCTCACCCACTACTTCCTCTGCACCCATCCTTCCTGTAAGTCTATCGAGGCTAAGTTCCCTAAGTGATGCAATGCAGGAAGTCAGCTGGAAGAAGTCCCCAACTATGTCCTTGGTGAGTCCTCTATGGGAAGACAAGACAGTGGCAATCCAGTACATGACCCTTTTCACGGGGAGAGCAGGGCTTCTGATTTTAGGTCAGAATCTGCCCAAGTATGGTTGTGTGAGCTACCATCTCAATCAGCAGTGATCATCTCACGTGATCTTTCCCAGGAGAAAGATGCTATACACACATGAGGACAATGCTTTTCCTGAAAACGTTATAAGGATATTGTGGTGGAGACCATCTAGACAGGGGGCGTGGGTGAACATCGGCTGGCTAGAGAAGAGAGGTCCTGGAATTTAGAGCTGAGGACTGGAGGCAGCAGAAAAGAAGGGAATAGAAACCCTGTCCTTTGCAACCACAGGAATGAACCCAGAGGACACTATGCTAAGTGAGATAAGTCATACACACAGGGTAAACACTACTGATACCATTTATATGAAGATGAAACTGTCCTACATTTTGACTCAGGTGTTGGTTACATGACTGTATATGTTTATCACAACTTATACAGAACTGAACAGGAAATGAGTGGATTTTACTATCTATAGATAAGAAAGTGAATGGAATATATTCAACCACAAAATCAAGAAATAAGAACAAAAGATAAGACTGAGGGAGGTTTCCTCACGGAATGTAAGGCACAACATAAATTGGCACAACATTTCATTTTCAAAAATTGTTTAAGCGGGAGAAGAAGGGCGGAAATGGTGGGGGAAAGGGAGAGAGGCAAACCATGAGAGACTCTTGAATGCTGACAAAAACTGAGGACTGATGGATGTGGGGGGGAGGGGGGATGGGC